TAGAATTTATAAGGTATCTAATTTAATTTGATTTGTGGTCACTACTAAACCTAAGAGATCCCAAGCTTTCTTTAATTCTAACCTTATGAAGCCAAAGAGAGCAGATGCCATAAAATGGGTCCTTAATAAATTTTTCACATTGTCTCATTATCTTCAACGAAATGGGTCGAGCAATAACTAAAGAATATTAAATAAATATAAAAACTAAACGATGTATACATGAGTAGTGGAACGAGAACAGTTTACATACTGGGTAAATTGCCGCCATTTTATATTTTTAATCTCGCGCATACGCGTTGTTTGTTTTTGATTTTGTTGACTTAAAAAATGGTATGCTGTACAATTCCTGTCCGAAGCTAAACGCCGCTGATATACAGTGCAGAGGATTTGGAAGGGTTAGATGAGTCTAATGGGCGATTACCAAAAACAGTTTGATGGTTCTGATTAAAGAACCCAAATTTGTTGGTGAGGGCATCAGACTAAATCATCAAGACCCCCTACTTAAGAGGGTTGTTGCTCTAGCAAGACGACTAATGCCCCAGTCATGGCTATCAGACAATTTCTGCCAACACATTAACCCTTAAATCTGACCACCTTAGATTGCACCAACAATGTTTGGGGCGCTTTTTTGAACAAGAGACCAACAAAACTCCTTGTAACGCCAAAGATAAACTGAAGGCAAGGATTATGGGAAAATTCACCAACTTAAACAAGGAGACCGTCTAGAAGAGTTGCAGGGGATTCTTAAGTCGTCTGAAGGGCGAGGTTGAAGCCATTGCCGATTGTATTGAATAAATTTACTCTTGTGTCATTAAAAAATGACTGACAAGGTACTTCTGTTATGGTCTTAGTTTTTTTTTTTTTTTATTGTATGCAAACAAATGAATGTTTGTTCCCTAGCTGGACTTTATTTTAATCCCGAATACGGCTAGGACGCTCTGGACGTGTTCGTAATTGATGTTGTTAAGGGCAGTTTTTTTATGATAAGGATATCAAATACGCTTGGACGGTTTTTTCAGTTGGAAACACATACACACATATAACTGGAATATTAGACCCGCTTTCTCTATAAACACTGCAAATTTTAAACAGTATATATATATATATATATATATATATGTGTGTGTGTGTGTGTGTGTGTGTGTGTGTGTGTGTGTGTGAAATATACTCTTAAGGTGTGCTATATTTATGGGATAAAGTGCTCAATATCAGAGATAGAGCGTGTGTAAATATAAAAGTGAACATTGAAGTCAAAACTTAGAGGCGACAGGCTGTTTCATGCTAGACACAATCATCAGGCCACGGCTATTTATATATAGGAGTCAGTGGTGCATTGTGGAAGTCTATTTTGGCTGTTATTTTGCCGGGAGTCATTTATTTATTTACTTGGGTTAGATTATTTTGCTTGTTTTTTATTTTTATATATATATATATATATATATATATATAAAGTGAACATTGAAGTCAACACTCAGAGGCGACAGGCTGTTTCATGCTAGACGGAATGACGCCTTTGAGTGTTGACTTCAATGTTCACTTTTATATTTATATTTACATATGCTCTATCTCTGATAGATTGCGTAAATATAACACACCTTAAAACTATATTTCTTCATATATATATATATATATTTATACACAGAATTAAATAGTAATGTTAATGTGTTTAATTCTTTGTACAAATTGTTTCTTTCTGATATAAAATATAAACTACATATATTTACGACATCAGATCCAAATTACAGTAATAATCAGAATCTTAAATTCTGTGGAAAACCACTAAGACATTTTTATTCTACCAATTGGATTATACTTGATTCCATTTCACCTCGACAGATAAAAATAAATAAGAAAATTTCGTAGATTTATATCTTTTTAAAATTCAAACAAAATTCTCACTTGATCGATTTGAACAAGAACACTAGCGACGCAACAACATACGCTGCAATACTTATATTCAACTGTCAATAAATAAAAAAAATCTTTCGGTCTACACATATTTAGTCTTAGTATTTGCCTATATTTATAAGAAAATTGTACCCTGTAGACGACCAATTTGAAGTATATAAAGTACTTGACATGTGTCTTCCATCTGACATCTTGAATATAAGGATCTTATCACTCAAGGAATTGATAGTAAGTTAATGTCTTATTAAGTCCTGATGGCGAAGTGATTTCGCCATTAGTCATATCAATATTGTTATTTAATTCTTTGTATAAATTGTTTCTTTATGACATATATATATATATATATATATATATATATATATATATATATAGAGAGAGAGAGAGAGAGAGAGAGAGATAAGAAAGAAATATAGTCTTAAGATGTGCTATATTTATGGGATAAAGTGCTCAATATCAGAGAAAGAGCGGGTGTAAATATAAAAGTGAACATAAAGTCAACACTTAGAGGCCTGACGATTGCATCTAGAATGAAACAGACTGTCGCCTCTAAGTGTTGACTTCTATGTTCACTTTTATATATATATGTGTGTGCGTGTGTGCTATTTTTAATTTATTTTTGTTTAAACGTGATACATTAATACATATATATATATATATATATATATATATATATATATATATATATATATATAAATGTATATTTGTGTAGCAAAGTCATCATCGACATCTCTAGGGGCAATGGCCGATGCAACTAACGGATTATAGATCTCCTGTAGGATAATCCATAGTTTTCGAAATCAGTCTTGTTTTGCTCGACCGCATTGTTTTCAGAAATGTTCACTTAGACAGGTTGCAAACCACATTTCGATACGCCAGTCTGTTCTACTATTTAATCCATAGCAGGGAAGAAGAGTGGGGTGCTTATCTTTCCCGGGGCTATTTGTACGAAAGCGAATATAACGAATTCGCATAACTGATTCCTCGCCCCTGCCACTCACCTTTACATTAACTGTACCCCACCCTCCCCAAAGGTATAGAATACTGCTAATTCCTGAATCTCGAGAAAAAATGGTCAAGGAAGTTTCGAATATTTCTTCTGAAGAAAGAAAACCTTAAAAAAAATCAACATATATATATATATATATATATATACACTCTCGACTCTCCCCGTCGACGACGTATGAGGGTCAAGCAGATCGGTTCTTAGGAAACCGACAACCCGTCAACGCCACATGAGATTTGATTATAGTGGTGAAGGTTTCGTGCACGACCCTCCACACATTTTCAAGGGCCGATTACAGAGACATGATGCACTATGTGCCACAGGGTCTCCAAACGACCCTCCGCAGGTTTTGAATTCAGAGTTGTTCTTCTCCTAGACCAGTTGCCATCTAAGGCTATAGAACCCAGTCTGCCCTGCTATTTACCCATAGCTGCTGGGAGAAGAAGAGTATTCACACCTTTCCCAAGGGTATTAGCACGTAAGTGAATGTAATGGATTCGACTGAATTCGAACTCGGCTCTCCGATTCCTCAATCCAAAACGATTCCTCAATATATATATATATATATATATATATATATATATATATATATATATATATATATATATATATATATATATATATATATATATATATTAGATTGTAGAGTTCTCTTTTAAAAGTTGATCAAGAACAATCTCCCACGTAAATTGAATAAAGTGTTTAATTCTGAAGAAAAGTACCGACTAAGATGGAAGACACCTGAAGAAGGCCGCAGGGTACAACGGCCGAAATATTGTAAGTATAACATCAAAGATAAACATTCCGGTCTGGATATTAAGGTGTATCATAATTAATTTCGTCTTACAAAAATAAAAAATAAATATGAGTAAATATTCGATGCAAGCCCCCCCTAAAAAAAACAAAAAAAAAACGGTAAATATAAGTAATGCGAGACCAAAATAAGAATTTACGATAAGAAATATTTCAAATTTTACTTACTCTTTGGGAACAAGGTTATGAACTCGAATCATATTGGTTCCAAATGAGGGGGAAAATCTTTTCTTCCTGTTCTTTGAAATATTTCCTGTAGCGAAATGGAGCTAACAGCTGATTTCAGTCTTTGTAGGAAAGTTTTGTGAGGAATATTCCACAAGTTGTATACGATTTTATCACAGTAAGAGAAATAAGAACTCCTTTCTCGTAATAGGTATCCTTATTCTTTGAAAGGTTTTGCTTGATAGAAAGAAACGGGAAAGAAGCGTCCACACCTCATGTGTATTCTTCTAATGATGCATAGAGTAAGAAACGTGTCGTATTATAATAGGCCCCGCCTTTTCCGCTCTGGACAAGCCAATCGTCATGGGCTGGAGCATTTAAGCCAAGGACAGTAATTGAAAACCCGTGACCAATATCGCGTTGTTTAGCAAATAATTCTTTTAACATTAATTTTCATTAAGACTGACCAGGTGAGGACAGGTAGACAAATAATATGAAGTTCGATAGACAGAATGTTCCTCCTTCTCCCCGATAAAGAAACATGTTATGTATATATATATATATATATATATATATATATATATATATATATATATATATATATGTATGTATTATGAAAATGGTTTAGCATTCAGTGTCCAGATGCGTCCGAGCGAATCTTCCCTTTCGTGGTAATATCCGCGTCAAAGACACCAATTGACCAGCAAATAGGACTCTCGTGATCCGAGTCTAGTAATTGGCTTCCGGTTTGTTGTGACCGCCATTTCTCTGATTATCTTACCGCGAAAACCAGGCTAAATAGCTTGTAGCTATTTCCTGGACAACCCCAGAGCGAAAAGGAGGTCACAGGGCAGAGAGAATCCAGTGAGGACCGAACTCACTATCTGCAGCTTGCGTGGTCAAGGCCCCGGAAATATTTACGCATGTAATCTCTAACAAAATTCAGTTTAGGAAATTGAACACAGAATAAACTGCGCTTGGGATAGTTTCTCGCAACACCGCTAATTGCTACACAACCAAAACAGTAACCTAAAAATACGAATCATGTTATTAAATAGCTTCGTCATATCGAGATATTCAAAGATCGCTAGTGTTACAGGCTTACAGCCACATCACCGAAGTTAAGCAACGTCGTACCTGGTCAGTACCTAGATGGGTGACCGCTTGGGAATACCAGGTGCTGTAAGATTGGACCAGTGCGACAGCTATGGCTTATATCTACATCATGTTGAAACACCGGTTCCCTTACGATCCCCGAAATTAAGCAACGTTGAACTTGGTCACTACCTAGATGGGTGACAGCTTGGGAATACCAGGTTCTGTAAGATTGGATGTGCGGCAGCTATGGCTTGTATCTACATCATGTTGAAACACCGGTTCCCTTACGATCCCCGAAGTTAAGCAACGTTGAACTTGGTCACTACCTAGATGGGTGACCGCTTGGGAATACCAGGTGCTGTAAGCTTCGGTGCTGCAGTTATGGCTTATATATACATCACATTGAAACACCGGTTCCTGTACGATTACCGAAGGTAAGCAACATCGAAACTGGTCACTATCTAAATGGGTAACCGTTTGGGATTAACAGGTGCTGTAAGCTTGGATGTGCGGATGGTGTAATAGATAATCGCTCGGAATTGTTAATCGGCGAATCAAGTTCCAGTTGAGTTCGTTATAATCATTTACACGCAAATAACCTTGGGAAATGTATGAATTCATCTCTTCCCCCCAGTTATGGGTTAATTAGTAAAAACCTGTATTACTAAAACGATTATTATCTCCAAAAATTTAAATTTAATTTTCGGTTTTAAATAACTCATAGAGGTTGATATGCCGCTAAACCAAATCAACCTACCAAACAAACTGCTTGTGTTACAAACGTGAAAAATAATCCTGTATTTAAGGCGAAAAAATTTTTAGAAATTGTATTATTTTAGTTTCCAGAACAAATGGAGTGTGGAGAGACAAATTAATTTATTAATTGCTTCGTCCTGTGCCTAAATTTTCCGAAAACAAAGAGTAAATTCACCACGTTACTTAAATATGTATACTATCTGATGCATTTAGTGAGGAAAAGAAAGGACAATAAAAGGACATGTTTCAGAAAGACAGAAATGGCGTTCTATTTACATTTTTGAAGCTTGTAGTTGACAGGGAAGTAAGAAATCGGAATGGTATTCCACAAACAAGAAGCGCGAGAAAAGAAACTATTACACCGTTGGGCAAATTAATTGAAACAAAACGAATAATTCGGTTATTACATACTTTTTTTTCATATTTGTCCAATGAAACATGACACAGTACACATGTTCGTATATCCAGTCCACGAAGTCTTTCCTTGCAGATTGACCACAGATTCTCGATTGGATTTAAATCAGGAGAGTATGCGGGCCAATCTATAGTACTTTGATTTGCTCACTGGTATGGCTTGCCAATGTGTCTGTGCAGCGTTACAATTTTCGCACGCTTCCTTGGAGTAATGTCCATCGCAGACAATGGCCATAGGACAACTAATCGACAGTCGAGACAATAGTATCTGAGCGTTTTAAAAATCTGATGCAATCACGGATGACACAATATTTTTCAAGGCCAAACAAATTTCATCATACACCCCGAAAATAGATTCATATTACTGCACACCACTGCAAATGACCTAATCTGAGGAAAAAATAGAAATCGATTACACCTTGTTACTCCAGTGGGTCTAAAACTGACCGTATGGTGAAATAAAGAAAACTAGAGCGGTTGTTTCAATTAATTTGTACAAGTGTGTAGAATAGATCGGGCGGTTTCTTCTAACTAGTTCAGTAGTAAAACGGTGAGACCTAGTTGCCAATCTAGCAACACAATTAAATTGAAGTAATCAAGATGCCAAGAGAGAAAGCTCACTTGCCATGAAAATATTTTTTGAAAAGACAGGGATTTGCTATAAAATAATGTTGAATGTCTTAAAATTATTCAACAAGAAAAATCTCAAGTTAATGCTAAAAGTTTCTGACAAAATCTAAAGACGGATATGCAATGTGATAGGTCCTGATCTGGCATCTCGACTTCAGTCACTTTCTCACTGACGTTATGTGGCTTCCCTCTGTCTTTTCTACAAATATTTTCATGGCAACTGCTCTGACGAGCTACTTTCACTGGTGCGCCAATTGAATTAATTTAAGCGTGCTACTAGGTTGGCATCTCAGCCCCACTCCTTCACTGACGAAACAGCTAAATGTAACTGCCTCTTCTACTCCAACAGCTTCTCTCGCACTTCCCAACAGTGGAACTCCCTTCCTCTTCCTTGCTTCAGTGATAACTATAATCTTCAAATATTCAAGTGTAATGTCAATCGGCATTTTCTGATACCTTGATCCTGATATCCGTCCTTCTTTTTATCCTTTCCTCAAACACCCCTCTTTACTCTTGCTCTCGCTCTCTGTAACCCCATTCGTGCTAGTGGCACTCCCGTCTTGCTTGGGGTGAAAAAAAAACATTTTTTTTATTTAAGATAGAATGATTTATTATGACATGTCTCTAATTTGTATTTAGATCCATTGTATTTATTTTCAATTTTTCTAGCTGAATTATTCACCTATATTGCATATGATCCATTTATTGTATATAAATAGCTTACACTAAAATTTGTATTTTATATGTATACTACCTTATGAAAATTGAGAAGTAGTAGAGTGGAGGGGGGCGTATCAAAGATTCGAAGGAGGCACGAAACCTTTGCACCGACTTCACAATTACGTCAGTGTATGAACCAGTTATAACAAATTTAATAGTGAAGATAAGGAAACTGAACATGGAATAGGCTGCACTAGGAGTAGTTTCGCCCAACTGCCACCAATTACTACAAAACAAAGACTAAAATCTCGAGTCATGTTCTTAAATAGCCTCGCCAGGAGGAAACTGTTATACAGGCGTCAAGCACGACACCGAACTCTTTTAGAAATATCTAAACTGCCAGCTGTATAGAACCGCTTTATCATATCAATGGTTAAAGACAGCTTAGACCGTGAGAAGCGAGGACTGCCCTTGTTTTTAACGTGGGAAGTAATAAAAATGTCTAATTAAAAAGAAATCTATTTATTCTTTAGAAATCAAGCGAACATTGTCTTTCAAGAAAATCTGATGAAGGGAGTGCGCATTCCTTAAAAAGGGGAAGCAGAACCTTGCTGGGCTGTGACGCTCAGATTGGCCCAGCGGTCGAAAGCACATTGGAGCAGATGGTGGTTTCGCCTACAAAGGGGGACGCAGATTTCGCTATTAAATTTTTTTGAATGCGCAATCCGGTAATCATAATACACACCATTTAAAAATAACGTTTGAGGTAATATATGCATTGTTGTGGCCTTGTTAGGACCAGAAATAAAGACACAAAGAAGAATTGAGTTAAACAAATATATTAACACAAACAGTAATACAAACATCTACAAACGAGAGTGTTACAACAAGAATGTTCAGTCCGACTGTCAAAGCTGACTGCTGGAAATTCCCCTCTCCAAAAGGCAGTACCTGCTCCTATTTATAGCTGGGAGAGTCTGTGCGTGGTAAATTACAATAACACTATCTATCTATCATCCGTGTCTGTCTGTTCATTTTTTTAAATCTATCTATCTATCTATCTATCTATCTATCTATCTGTCGTGGCCTTATTAGGGGTCAGAAATAAAGACGCAAGAGATGAATTGAGTTAAACAAATAGATTAACAGAAACAGTAATACAAACATATACAAACGAGAGTGTTACAGCAAGAATGTTCTGTCCGACAGTCAGAGCTGACTGCTGAAAACTTCCCTCTCTAAAAGGCAGTACACCTGCTCCTATTTATATCTGGCAGAGCCCATGCATGTGTGGGAAATTACCATATATATATATACATACATACATACATATATATATATATATATATATATATATATATATATATATATATATATATAAGACATGTCTTATTGACTAATTTAGACAAGTTTGTCAACTTATTCACAATAGGATCCTCTCATATTGACGGACAAGCTTCTTAATATGCGTATTAATTGAAGTGAGAAAATTACTGTGTTGATACATATTCATTTATTTTTAATTGAATGTGTGATTATTTGTATGCATATATTTCGAGTTATATGAACATTTTTGTTTTCCAAATATGGTCAGCATATTGTGACCGTGTTCATATTTGATGCCATTGAGTGCTGGCTTGTTCTTTTTTATTAATAATGCTTCCATAGCATACACACATATCTTTCTCTTATTCCTTTTATTATACGAGTTGGACAGACGTGGTAGTATTGCTTCTAGGAGGCAGCGGGAGGAAAAACTTCAAGGCACCACATACTCGCTCGTTGGCTTAGCGCCCCTCCACGTCAGGTCTTAACCTGTCTATCGAACCTGGTTGTGGGAACCGTATCGATGTTTAAAAAATCCTGCGACCCTCTCAGTCGACTTCGCGTTGTTTTGTCATATATCCAAAATATAAAGGCAAATCATCACAGTCAGGATACAGCGCCCACGAAGTATTCTGATCAGTCGCTGACCATCCTGACCCAGACTCCGCATTCCGTCACAGAATTTTCCAGAATTTTTCCTCCAATTATTTCTGGGTAACTTTCGCCTGAAAACAGTGGATAATCTTGCAGGAAATAAAACGGTCATTTTCAGAGTACATGAAGTCCAGGATTGAATGCAGTTTGGAAACTAACGCTAGCTTGAATAATGCCTGTCTAAAAACAGGACTTTATGGACACATATATACTTAAATATCTATATTTTAAAGTATAGATGGTAAATTTTTCTTCAAAACTTTATTGCTATTAATAGTTTTTACAAAGTATTTCTGATATTAAAACCTATTTTTACACTTTCATAGTGTTTTGACGGCAATTTGGGGGTTAACTATTTGCCCATAGCTGGGACCCTAACAGGTGCTACCACCTCGGGTCAGAGTGGACCTGGGAACACCAGCAATTAAGATGTGGTTCCAAGCTCCTCAAAACCTCCTGATCAGAGGCCTTGCTGTCGGATATAATTTATCGTCTTACCCAGGACGCGGATGTTGTTTATCGTCATACCCAGGACGGTGAAAAGAAGGAATCGGAAACCGAATCCTAAACAGGAAACCAGGGATAATTTCTACTTCCGTTCCAAAAAAAATGGCGAGGTAGCGAACTAAACGATACAAGAGCGAAATTATAGATCACTCAGTGAAGATCCAACTCTCTATTCAGTCGTAATTGATCTCGAGAGACAAACTTGTTAACCATTACCTTCTAAGTGTAGCTGAGATATGGCACAAGGCCTAAATGATTGAACGCTCTACTCAGTTGTTATTGATCTAACGAGAGAAGTTTGTTAACCATTACACTACGTCAAAGTGCCTACTATTATGATTTTCTACGCGGGGGTTAGATGTGGCACAAGGCCGAAATTTTGGAGCACGGAGCGATGATTGAACTCGATACTTAGTCGTAACTTATCTTGCAAGACAAGGTTGATGACCATTACATCACAGCGAAGTACCCAAAAGGTCTAATATAATGACATTGCTAAAACTATTGGCCACATCATGTTGAATCACAGGTACGACCATCGCAGTTAAGCAACGTCGAACCTGGTCAGTACCTAGATGGGTGAACGATTGGGAATAGCAGGTGCTGTAAGCGTGGATGTGCGGCAGGTATGGTTTATACTCACATCACGTCGAAACACCCATTCCGGTACGATCATCGAAGTTAAGCAACGTCGAACCCGATCAGTACCTAGACGGGTGAACGCTTGGGAATATCAGGTGCTGTAAGCAAGGATGTGCGGCAGGTATGGTTTATACTCACATCACGTCGAAACACCCATTCCCGTACAATCATCGAAGTTAAGCACCGTCGAGCCTGGTCAATACCTAGATGGGTAACCAATTAAAAATACCAGGTGCCGTAAGGTAGGATGTGAAGGTGGTGTAATCGATAAAGGGTCGAAATTGTTAATCGGAGAGCCGAGTTCCAATTCCTGTCAGCTTTGTTTTATTCACCTAAGCGCAAATACACTTGGGAAATGTATGGATCAATTTTCTCCTCCAGCTATGGGTTAATTATTGAGACTTGTATCACTAAACCATTATGACCTCCCCTAGCCGCGCAAAAAGACTTACAATATTTACTGGCTTTAAATAACCTACAGAGGGTTGATAAGCCGTAAAAAACGAACTGATAAACAATCAACCTGCAAGGAAACATTTGGCATTCTCTGACTAAGCCTTCATTGGCCCGTTTCAAGAAAAGACCAAAAGCATGGTTTGCTTTGTTTAACGGCATATCAACACCATTTGGGTCATTTAATAATGAAATGTTGGTAATTTTTTCTCTTCTTTTACCAATAATGTATTTCTGATAATTAAAAATACATCGCTTGTATTCTTTTATTTATTTTTATACATTCATAGTGTTTTCCCTTCAGTTTGTAAGTTTACTATTTACCCATAGCTGGGACCCTAAAAGGCCGTCCTGGGTATGACGATAAACTACATCCGCGTCGTGGGTAAGACGATAAACTACATCTAACAGCAAGGCCTCTGATCAGGAGATTTTGAGGAGCACGGAACCACTTCTTAATTGCTGGTGTTCCCAGGTCCACCTTGACCCGGGGTGGTAGCACCTGTTAGGGTCCCAACTCTGGGCAAATAATTAACATCCAAACTGGGGTCAAAACACTATGAAAGTGTAAAAATAGGTTTTAATACCAGAAATACTTTGTAAAAAAATATTTCCAGCAAGAAATATTTAAAGGAAAAATTATTACCAGCAATACATTTTTGAAAATATTACCAGCAATAAAATCCTTGTCATCATTAAATAACCCGTTGAGGTTGATATGCCATAAAACAAACCAAACCAAACCAATATATACTGAGATAGATAGATAGATAGATAGATAGATAGATAGATAGATAGATAGATATTACCAGCAATAAACACCTTGTCGGCATTAAATAACCCATTGAGGTTGATATGCCGTAAAACAAAGCAAAACAATATATACTGATATAGATAGATATATATAGATATATATATAGATATATATATATATATAAATATCTTGTATTAAATAACCCATTGAGGTTGAAATGCCATAAAACAAACCAAACCAATATATATATATATATATATATATATATATATATATATAGATAGATAGATAGATAGATAGATAGATAGATAGATAAAAAAAATATTACCAGCAATAAAAATCTTGTCGGCATTAATTAACCCATTGAGGTTGATATGCCGTAAAACAAAACAAAACAAAACAAAACAAAACAAACCTAAAGAGATGCTACCACGCAGGGACAACAATTAAGAGACGGTTCCACGCTCGTTAGAAATCTCCTAATCAGAGGTTTTCCCGCCGGTTGTAGTTTATCGTCATACCAAATATGGTTCCTCACTATGCATGTGTTTGGAAAAACCCTTCGTTTTCCCCCCACGAGATTGAGCAAACACAGGGTAACTGTATTTCTTCAGAGATAGCCACCTGAAAAATCTAAGTAGTGAAATAGTAACCTATAACCAGTTAACCTGCCGTGATGAACACATTCCCTTTTCAGGTCATTGTTTAAAGTTATCGACGTGACCTGATGTCTGCTGCAACTAAATGTAGTTTTGCAAAAAGACGACAGGCGAAAATATTCCTTCAATTTACGTCACTTAATGGCTTAGAAAATATCCCGATCTCGCTCTCTTTCTGAAATGAAGCCACAAGTTTCGGAGTTCATGTAATAAGAACGCCGGATGTTTTTCAGGAAACGGATGTCCGACATCTTCGATATCAGGCTTCCGGTTAAAGCGACATCAAGTACGAAAAAGCTGAAGAGAATAATCATTGTAAGTGTAAATGTTTGCATCAGTGTACGGACATATATATATATATATATATATATATATATATATATATATATATATATATAGATAGATAGATAGATAGATAGATAGATAGATAGATGCATAGATAGATATAGATATATAGATATAGATACACTACTACTAATAATAATATATATACTATAATTTATATATATATATATATATATATATATATTATATATATATATATATATATATATATATATATATATATATATATATATATATATACATACATACTACTACTACTAATAATAATAATAATAATGATAAATATATATTTTTCCTCACCGTTTTGTACAACAATATGAATTTTATGCGCGTGGCAATCATCAGGCAAGGATTAAACTCTGACTGGTGTAAAATTTAAATATTACTATTTATAACCTAAAGAGAGAGGATTGTGGAGAAATTCATTTACTTATGATATGTATATATATATATATATATATATATATATATATATATATATATATATATATATATATATGCACACATATATATATATATATATATATATATATATATATATATATATATATATATATATATATATATATATATATATATATATATATATATATATATATATATATATATATATATATATATATGCACTAATAATAATAAGTATACACGTTTCGTCATAGTTTGGTACAATTCTGAATTTTTATGCACGTGGTTGTAAGCTTGGATGTTCAGGTGGTGTAATTATTTGCAACTCGGAATTGTGAATCGGATAGCGGAGTTCCAATTCCCGTTGGGTTCGTTATATTCACTTACGCGCAAATATATCTGAGAATTGTTTGAACCAACCTCCCTCCTAAACCTTGGGGTTAATTATCAGAACTTGTATCACTATACCATTATTATCGCCCTCAAAAATTCTTGCAATGTAAAAAATTTTCCGGTTTTAAATAACGTGCAAATGACTGATAAGCCGTAACAAAAAAAACGAATCAGTCATATATATATATATATATGAATATATATATATATATATATATATATATATATATATATATATATAAACCTAGTGAAAGAGACAAACCTACCCATGTTTCACCTCAACGGGTCGTCGCTTAAGTGAAACCTGGGTAGGTTTGTCTGGCTCTCTAGGTTTATCTATGTCTGCTCTACGGTTGTATTGAGCTCTTTTGTTAGTTAGTTGTTTACTCGTATCGGGTTTTTTTCTTTGGGCTTCAGACCTGCATCTGTGCGATTTTTTTCGACAGACTTTCATGTTTCTAGCTCTTTCTTTTTTTTTAAAACCTTTTTTTTTCCTTCGTGATTGATTTGATTATTGGCAAATCAAAATTCGAAAGGTTTTTTCAAACGAGTATAGTTACCTATATATATATATATATATATATATATATATATATATATATATATATATATTATAATTTTATTATATAGCTAAAACCATTTTCACTACAAAGATGCAAAGATGCACTTCGACGAGTTCAGAATCAATTTCGAAGTGCAGTTGAAATGCACTTCGAAGTTGCATCTTTGTAGTGAGTAAATGGTTTTGTCTATATGATAAAATTATAATAAATAAATAATTATCGCTCTACTATCGGTATCGTCTTTTGATTAATGCTGTGAACATTGAATTTTTATATTACTTTCGTTCTCATCACATCGTATATATATATATATATTTATTTATGTTTAACGTTGTTATTTTATAGATACAAGATTTAAAAATGCTCTGTTTATGATAAACAGTATTAAATAACATTTACCGGCCTGAATGTCCGAGAAATTTTCATAGAAAATATTCGTTCATAGACAGGATACGAACCTGCATCCTATACTTCATATACGCTGACGTGCCTGACCACTCGGCCACCATGAACCTTATGGTAGAAAGGTCGAATTTACTATAAACTACAATCTTCCATGAATCTCTACATTCATAATCGAATAAACAAATGACGTCATATGTATATGGACGAGGTCCGATATATATATATATATATATATATATCACATAGAAAACATGTTAAAATCGCTACACAGTTGTAGTCGTGTTTCGGTGCGTATCAATGCATCTCATCAGGTGATTGTAAATTATTGACAAATGAACTACTTATTTAGATTTAAAAGTACAATACAACCTCTTTTTACGAAAAAATAGGTGGGTGCTTATAAGGCTTGTGGTCTTTGCACAGATCAACCAATCAATTATGACATACGTTAAATTTAAACAAAGGGAAGAAGCAAATTATTTTCATGATTGGGTCATGCTCCTTAGATTTACAATCAGTGGCAGCACAGACGTTAAACAGGCGCTGATGTAAATAAATATATATATATATATATATATATATATATATATATATATAATACATTAGACAATGTCATTTCCCAAGAAAAAGTGGAGTGGTAATTTAACCAAATGCTAAGCAAGTTATATACTTTGTGAGTTTCCTATATAAAAAAAATCATAGTTGATAAATAAATAGCTTCTTTAAGAAACCAGTAAATAATTTAAAATTATAGACTTACTTGGTAAATTAATATGAAACTTTTGGCTAAAAATTCTTTATATAAGGTGTTCATATAGCAATAATCAATCAATGCAAAATATCAAAAATACCAATCAAATACTAGTACATCCGTACAAGATGTTACTAACACTACCAGGAGATTAATATAAAATTATATTAAACAAAAATTAATCTTATCAAAGAACCTAATAATTTCCAATTTTTCATGTACACAGGATTAATATAAGGATCAATATAAGGTCCTTGACATTTTTTAAAATATTCCATTTCACCTTAGGAGATTTATTATCATTTTTCAAACTCCAAAAATATTCAGAAACTTATGTATTATTTCTATAAGTATTATTAGTAAATGACAATAACACC